AATTAAATGCCAGTTCCTTTTAGAAGGTAAGATGTTAACATCATGTTAACTGACAGCAGATAGAGGGTCTTCTCCACATTAATAGTCAGTAAAAATGAAAAAGTGAGTACATAACCTAATGAAGAAGAGTCAACACTCCTAATACTGGAAGATATCCCTAAATTCATCAGAAGACAGAATGATACAAAAAATAATATTTACAAAGATGACAGCATTGCTAGCAACACTGGAAAGTAAGAGGATTTGTATAAATTATTATAAATTAATATGCTAAAAATCCATTGACACTGGAATCAGCTATAGTCCTAGAGAATGCTAGAATATGTTGTAAAGGCAGCTAGGCACCTCATGTCAGATTTTCATAACATTATGCTGAGTATAAATTACAAAGCAGTTCCACACATGTTTAATAGAACACAACACTAGTTCTATTAAGGTACATAAATATTACTCCCAGGCATATTTCTGAGTGTTTTCCTTAACAAGTTCCAATCACAGTACTGTAATGAATTTAATATAAAAGGCTGAGTTTATATTATAAACATTTCTATTATTAGTTTATATTATATCACAGAACATGGGACATAGGTTTCTTAAATACTTTTGGTTACCATACATGGAGGAAAATCCATCATTTTTTATGGTGATGTGGGGAAGCACCTGAGTTATAATTTCAAGGAGAAGGCACGATAGTTTTTCTGATTTACCTCACAGGAGTAGATACCTTCATACAGATCTCCCCCTTTCCTTCTGCCTTCAAGCAGAGTCCAGTTGCTATGTAAATAGATAATCACAGGGAAGCAAGTTGCATACAAATTTGAAAAGTGTGATATTGGACACTGGTATACTACAATTCAATTGAAAGGAGAAAAAATGGAGGCCAAGAATAACTAAGACGAAAGTCACTTGTCTAACTACAGCATAGCCAGATGGGTTTTATGCTTCAGTATCTCAGTTTACCTGCCTGCCCACACTATAATGTAACAATTTATTGATATATTGGACTTTGTTCATACATTTATAAAAATTTATTACTCTGAGAATTCCCATAGCAATATTCAAATAAGCGCTTCTGTATTATTCATCATTATAATTGTATTATATTAATTTTTCTGTACCTACTTTCTGATTTGTGGTACATATAATTGTCTATGGAAATAATGATTAAAAACTGCAGGTTTCATTAACATAGCATATATTTAAAGAAAATTTGGGGAAGAAATACTTCTCTTTTCCATTAACTAAGTTTTATTTTTCTGGATATATATGAAACAGAAACATCAATATTAAAGACTAAAAAATTGCATTCAAAATGGAAAATTCATTTTTAGACATTTTACATTGTTTTTTTCTACTATTACCAAAGTAAGCCCTCTTTAGATACAAACTACAAAGCCAAATAGAAGTGTCTAAGGTTTCTCTTTTTGAACTAAAATAATCTGAGGGGGATAAAAACAAAAAAAAGGAAAGCCAGGGGAGTAAGAGGTAAGAGTAAGTTGATAACAGTATAATCTAGTGAGAAATAAGGATAACATTTAATATCCACTAATGTCCACAGAGATTGTACCCATGAAACTCTGAACAATTAAAATAAACAAGTGTGGAAATCTTGATCTATTGAACAAGCCAACTTAATTTTAAGACATGTCAAAATGAGGCTACTGATTTTTCCATGGTATCCCCTTATGTCTGACCACATATTGAAAAAGCTCGGGGAGAAATCTCTAGAGCCATCTGTGGACTGCTTATCAATTAGATTCAAGTCCTCCTATGTCTGCTGGTCCCTAATTATATAACTATGCCATGATCAGAGGCAACTTCTTTGCCAATGCAATTAACTTTTTTTTTTCTGTGAGATTAACTGGATTTGAATCACCTGCATAACTTGCTCGCAAGGTTAATCTCTCTGGAGATAACAGTGTTGTGTGCCAGTGTGTTACTCTGTAGAATACAGCTCTCAAACAGCCCTGTCAACCTAGTTCCAAATCGGCATTGTAGAAAACCCAACTTTACACGTAGCTATAATTAAATCTAATGTCTTCTCTCACTGCAGTCATGTCAACATTATTCAGACAGAAAACTATTCAACTTTACACAAAATGCCTTGAATCCAATGGGCCTTTGAATAATCTTTTCTTGTTTTTATGCTACAGTGAAGAAGAAATTAAGTACCCAGGTAACACATTCTCCATTTCAACTGTATGTAGTCATTGAGAGTGGCTGTAAAATTCCCAATGACTGTGCCATGACAGTTATTTCCTGAATGACCTTAGCAATTTTAAGGTAAAATTCACTTGACATTGTAAAAGCAGTACTGTGGCTATAATTGCGTAGGTGGGTTTGTTTAAGTCCTGTAAGAAGAAAACTATGTAATAAAAGGACATTAGAGCTAACTGCTGCTTGTAAACCTTGCCTTGACTTTATCTGCCCTAGTAAGAACTGCCTCGGAACAGTGCCTGTAAAGTATAAGGAAATCTTCAGATGGTTAGCTTCACAGGCCTCCTTTGACTTAACAGTGTATGTCTAATGAATGGGAGGGAAGCTTGATAACCATTGGATGCTGTTACTGTGCCCTTCCACAAAACTTGGTGATAACGGTCAGGCTCCCTGGATGTGTTGATATAAATTCTGACTAAATTCATTTATTTTTGACAGGAATTTTCACTCTCGGAAGCAAAGACCAAAAAATAGATAAAATTTGGAGGAGAAAATTCTTATGTTTTAAAAACAATTATTTCATGTTATTCTTTTTT